TGAGGTCCTTTAAAAAGCACCACTGGAAGTATAAGATCAGCAGATAAAGGCAGGCTTAGATTCTCCCTTCCTGGATCCTCTGCAAGGAGGTAAGCACTGTAATAAATACATTTGTTTTTAAATGGGGTACTCCTCAACTCACAAAAGTTATGGTGCCTTGAGTCTAACAAAGGGTGCCTTGAATCTATAAAGTTTGAGAATGAGTATAAGAAATTACTATGCTCTAAAACTAGCTGCCAAATCTGCCAAATAGATGTCTGGCTGGCTGTCAAAACATATATTTAAAAAACCTTGCCTTTTACTGCCTATTTCATAAAATCATGTTTCTACTAAAATAATCTTTATAATTGTACTGAGAAAAAAAAAATCATAGAACTAAAAATTATTAAAAGTAATGTTGCAGCCACACTGAATATACTACTCAGAAAATATTTTAGAGGCAGTGTGATTCAGTGGAAAGGGAAATGTACTTTAAGGCAGGAGACCTGAGATAAAATCCTCACCTCATTGAAATTAATGGCAACCTCCCAGATCTTAAATGAAATCAGGACTTCTTTTTTCTTGATTTTGATTCTCACTCTGCCACTGGCTTGTTCTCTGACTTTGAGCACATTATTTTAAGTTATTTAAGTTAAGTAGCTTCCCCCCCATTCTTTAAAATGGGGATAATAGCACCTTTTCTCCTCTGAGATCCAGGGAAGAAATGCATTAGTAACTGTTCAGTGGAATGACTCCCTTACTTCAATTATGACACAACTTTTTTCAGGCTTGGTGCTTTACTTTTACTCCAAACTTTACACACTGGCTGTGTCTACACAAGATGCTGACTGCACAGTAGCGTGTTCATGGATGACTGGTATCACCTGAGTTGGACAGGGGGCATGTGCTCCTCCTGCGACCAGTCCTGCTGACCTGGGGTGGAGAGCCCCCCGCAGCCTGTGGGTAATCCTGCGAACCAGGAGCAATATATGTGGGACCCACATTTACTGATGAATAAAGTCTCAATGAATATGTTGTAAGGATGTCAAATGTGATCATGAGTTAAATATAAGAGTTCATTAAATAGGGCATCATTATGAGGAAAGCATAAACACATGACCCTATGACTATAAGCTGGGGCCCACTTACACTCTAGGTCTATTATATTATACAATAAGTATTTAACCCTTGTCTTCATTGCTAATGACTTTTTTCTAGAACATTTCAAAAAGCACCAATTGAAAAAAAAGGAAAGTTATAATGTAGTGGTTTGGCCCTTTTTCATATTTCTATAACAGGGGATCTAAGAGAATCATAGGTTGTAAACAGTTTTATGTGCACAGCTTCACTGGAGAGCCTTTTCGTTTGTCCTTTTTTGGATAGTACAGCAGTGTTGGACCTTGTTCCACAATTCAGAAAACCTATCTCCCACTTAATCTTCAGGGCAGGAATTAAGGCACAGACCCAGCCACATCCACAGGGGAGACCCAAGCTGCTCACACACAAATTCCTATGGTTGCCTGGCAGCTTAAAGAAGTGTGACGTAGTGGTATAGTACTTGTGGAGGATTCTAGTAGGATACCAGCTGGCCTAAGAACCTTGTAAGAGGGAATCCTAGCCCTGTTACTAAGAGGCATGACTGCCCCTTTAAGACCTGAATCTACAGGAACACCAAGCACCAGGAGGGTAGGGGTTAACAGCTCAACCACCCAGGCCACTCAGCTGACAGGAAGGGGATAGGCCTCTGGGCACATATAAACCCCAGGGCTGAGGCTGGCAGGAGGAGGTCTCTGGCAAGCAGCCAGGGGGAGAGAGCTTATGCATGGCAGAACTACCCAGGAACGCTGTGGCTGCTGGCCAGACTGTTGCTGTGGCCAATAAGGCTCCAGGAGCCTACAAGGTACCCAGAGTTGGGGTTGCTCAATATGTGAGAAGCAGTTTGGGGTTTTTAAGGAGCCAGAGTGTGGCTTGTATTATGTTATAGCCCAGGGGCTCATATTTATGTTATTGTTTTATCTGGTGGACTGGGATGAGGCTATTTGGGGAGGAGAAGGCCTCATTGGGGCATACTACTGTGCAAAGCCCCAGCGCTGGGGGCGGGAGTGCAGTGACAGGGGGTGATCAGATCCCAGTGCCAGGGGGGGCACAACGACAGGGGTGATCAGACTCGAGCACCAGGGGGACCAGCACCAGGAGGCGCAGAGACAGGAAGCAGACCCCAGTGGAAAGAGGTACAGTGACAGGGAGTGAGTCAACCCAACGCCCTAGGGCACAGGTCAACATTTATGTACCGTTTGCAAGGTGTGGACCACTGTGTAGGGGAGATTTGGAGTGGTGGATAGTGACCCCTAGCATTGGGGTAGTAAATGGGCAGCCTCCCACCTGAGTAACACCATAATTATTGTTCCATGAAGGCATGGCAGGCGAGATAGGTAGGTGGGTAGCACACAGACAGAGGGTCAGGCCTATGTTAGAAAGGCCCAGGGATGGACCCCTGTCACAGACATATATTTAAAATTAGTCTTTGGCATTCGCTTTGACCCTAATAGGTGGTGATCAGTGAAAGCTCAACATGATCTGAACACTGCTTTCCAACAGTAGTGTTGTCTACTTCAAGAAGTTAGAAACATAGATTCACAGAAAGTGAGGGATGGAAGGGACCTCAGGAGGTCATCTAGTCCAACCCCCGCTCAAAGCAGGACCATCCCCAACTAGATCATCCCAGCTAAGGCTTTATCTAGCTAGGTCATAAAAATCTCCAAGGATGGAGAGTCCACAACCTCTCTGGGTAACCTGTTCCACTGCTCTACTACCCTCCGCTTGAGACAGTTTTTCCTAGTATCTAACCTAATCTTCCCTTGCTGCAACTTGAGCCCATTGCTCCTTGTTCTGTCATCTGTCACCACCAAGAACAGTCCAGCTCCATCGTCTTTTGAACCCCACTTCAGGTAGTTCAAGGCTGCTATTTAATTCCCCCTCAGTTTTCTCTTCTGCAGGCTAAATAAGACCTGTTTTCTCTGCCTTTTCTCATAAAAGATGTGTCCCAGCCCCCTCACCATTTTCATTGCCCTTTGCTGGACTCTCTCCAAATTGATTCTAAGTGAAAAAGAAAATACTGGTGACTTTGAATTTTCAGAGAATGATACCAAAGGTCACATCAAACATGACCCAAACAATATCCAAACAAAATCCTAACAGAGTAGACCTAACCAAGAAAGCTGGGGCAAACCCTCTGTTCCACACAGAAGTCTATATTGTGCTTAAACACAAAATGAAAATAATGAACATCATGATCTGCATAACTGGTCAAAAAAGAACCCAATAAAGATCAATCCTAAATTGACAACATACTACGCAAATTCGCTGCTAGCTAATGTTAATGCAGTTCAGCACACTATGCTGCTCTTGCTTCCTTTAGCGTTTGCTACTCAAGGTCCAGACCAAAAATCCAGAACATCCTGTAGTCATCAATTTAGAAAAGCAGTAGTCAACAATTTAGTTGGGCAGAGTGTTGACAATCCACAACCTAGTCAAGCTGCAGTTTGTATCACACTTCAGTTAGTTGGAGTAGAAATCCTAGTTCAGTGCTGTTTGTTCAACTGGCAGCCTGCGGGTGACATATAGCCCGCAGGCTCCTGCCTGGCTGCTATTCCCATCACCCCTACTGCTGTGGGGGCCAAGGTCTCAGGGGCAAGGCAGCATAGCAGGAAGGGGCCTGGTGAGCATGCTGCCTGCGAAATGGTGACAGCAAAGTTGGGGGTTCACACTGCCTACATGGTGGAGGGGCTGAGTTGCCCCCCAGCACAGGCACCAAAAAGCCTGCATGGTGTGCACCCTGTGCAAAGTGCAGCACTCAGTGCAGCTGAGAAGTTCTGGTATCCTAGCTCATCTGGTATCACTGCTGTATTTATCAGACAACACAGATCAAGGTAGCAAAGATGCCAATTGCTTCCATGCTAGAAAAGCAGAAAAGTCAAAATCTGTTCTTTAAATAGTTGCATCCTGTGTTGTCCTGACTATAAACAAAATTGACAATTAGCAATGGAAACAAATATAATTGCATAAATAGTGTATATAGACTAAAGCTGTGTGCCTGTATGGAATAGACTAAAGCTGAACAATTGGTTCATAAAAGATTCTAAAAATGTTATATATCTTCATAAAACTATCATTAAAAAAATGGAATGGGGATGGTGGGGAGGGGAATCCAGTTGAAGGAGTTGGGGGTCGGACTCGATGATCTATTGAGGTCCCTTCCGACCCTAACATCTATGAATCTATGAAGCAAACTACAGTCAGGAGGACAAACCACAGATTTATGTGCCTTAGAGTTGTATCTGCTTGGTGATCGTAATGTTTAAAACAAATTTGAAATGCTGTATTAATTTGAATGCCTTGTTTTACATGATTAATGCTTGTGTAGTGTTAGTCGTTATTTCAATTACTGTTTATTATAGGGCTCCTCCTTTGTAACTAATCATGTGTGCAATTTCATCTGACATCAAACAAAAGTAATGTAATCATAGCAACAGTAGTTAGGCTGTCCATTTTGTCATATCCAACACAATGGACACCTCCCCGCCTACCAGAAGCAAACAAAGTGTTTTTTTTTCTTTACCAAAGAAGAATGTGATACGTAAATATCTGCTGTTTAAATATGAATTTCACAAAAGCATTTTTGCCTCAATTTTATTAGAAAGCATTTGTAAAAAATAGCCAGGTGGGACAGAATATACTAAGTTGGCTGCTTCCGGTTTTGTCATGCTACTCGATTCACCTTGTTGCTAAGGAAGAGCAAAGGGGATCAGAGAACTTCAAACAAAAGTGGTAAAGTAAAAGAGAGGCCTTTGGGATTTCTTATTCAGTATCCTTCAGTGTTTGCTTGTCGAGCTGCATTTGCTGGCTCAGCACCTTGTTAGGAATGAACCTATGAAATAATGGGATCCTGTTTTGCTGTTTTATATTCAAGCTCCAACTTCAGTGGACGGTTTAATCTGTTTTGGTGAGTTAACCATATCATCATGCATTCGACCAGCTTGTTTACAAATCCATATGCAGTAGAAGTCCTGCAGACAAAAAAAGAAGAACTGGTGGAAGGCATTAACAATCCGGACCATCTTCTTAACTGGTTGATAACCAATGGTATCTTTACACCAGAGAAAAAAATGGTTATGTCCTACTACAGAACACGGATAGAAAAGAACTCGCGGGTTTTGGATATCCTGGTTTCTCAAGGTGAGCGAGCTTGCAGGCTGTTTTTTTATCCATGTTTAAAACAAGTAGAGCCAAATCTGTACAACAGTGTGCGGAGATATGTCAGTGATATAAATGAAAGTATCGGTGATGCTAGAAGACAACTAGTAGGGTACCTTCTTGAAAAGGACAAGGATTGGATTGAAAAGTCCAAAGAACAACACAAAGAGAAGACAGATATTCCTAGACAGATAAAGAGAAAAAGGGGTATTATAGAAAAAGTTAAAGAAACACAAAGTTTGCCAGCAGCAAAAACAAAAAAGGACCATTCTGATACTGTTAGTATCTTTGGTGCAGCTGCAAAAGGTGATCTTTCTAACCTAGAGAAAATGCTGAAGGAGAACGATATTAATGCAGTAAACTCCTCAAATGAAACACTCCTCCATATTGCAGCTGCTAATGGTCAGATTGCAGTAATGGAATATTTAATTAAAAAAGGTGCTAAGCTAGAAGTGAAGGATAGTCAAGGGAAAACACCACTCCACAGGGCAGCTGAAAAAGGCCAGGATGATGCAGTGAAAGTGCTACTCCAAGCCGGTGCCTACATATATAGTTTAGATGAAGCAGCCAAAACGCCACTTCATTTGGCTGCACAGAACCACCACGGTCCTACACTGAACAGGATTCTGAAAGAAGAGGCAAAGCGTTACAGGAACCAGCACAACTTCTTGCATATGGCAGCTCTCAAAGATGAAAGCAGTTTGGCACAAATGCTTTTAAAGAATGGTGCCTCAGTTGATGCAAAGGATGAGAAAGGGCAAAGTGCTTTGAGTTACGCTGTTTCCCGGGGATTTGAGACGACTGTAAAAGTACTGCTTGAAGCTGGAGCTAGCATCGATTCCAATGTACTTGATGTAGCCTTCGATAGCAACAACCAATCCATTTTCCAAATACTGTTAGAATATTTTAAAGGTTTGTCCCCTGACACAATGGTGTCAGCTCTTTTTAAAGCTGTCCAGAAGAACCTGCATGGCATTGTAGCAGCTTTAGTAGACAAAGGCACAGATATCAATGTCTACAATGAAATGGGGTACACGCCTTTACTCATGGCTTGTGAACTGGGTAAAACAGAGTCTGCAGAAGTTCTAATTGAAAAAGGAGCCAGCTTGAAGGAGAAGACACCCAGTTCAGACACGGCTTTACATTTAGCTGTTCAAGCTGGGGCAGTTGCCATCACTAGTCTGCTTCTACGCAAAGGGATGAATGCTAACATCACAAACCAGGGAGATCAAACCCCACTGCACATTGCTGCATTTCATAATAAGGAAGCACTCGTTGACATATTAATCAATGCTGGGGCCAAAATTAACGCTGTCACAAAGGAGTTAGTCACTCCTTTACATATTGCAAGCCAAAGAGGTAATGCTGATGTTGCTCAAAAACTGCTGCAGCATAAAGCCAATGTTAATGTTAAGGATAAGCAGTCGAAGACACCCTTACATCTTGCCACTGAATTAGGAGATTGTGCAATGGTGGAATTGCTTATTAATTCCAATGCTGACGTCAATGTCACAGACAGGGAGAAGAAGGCGCCTCTTCACATGGCAGCTATGGGAAATTATCTCAATATAGTTAAACTTCTATTAGCCAAAAAAGCCAGATTTGGAGCTAAGGACATGGATGGCTGCACACCAATGCATTATGCAAGCATCAAAGGCAATGCAGAGATAGTAAAACTCCTCCTGATGGAAGGGAAGAATAAACATGTTGATGACAAAAATATCTGGAGAAAGACTCCACTGCATCTTGCAGCAGAACATGGGCACAGTGACTTGATAAATTTGTTGTTGAGCCACGGGTCAGCCATTAATGCTTTAGATAACAACAAAGATACCCCACTGCACTGTGCTTGCAAGGCCGGTCATTTTAACTCTGTAAATTCACTTGTAAGCTGGTCTCAGGGAGAGAGAGCAAACTTACAAGCCACTAACAGCCTCAGAAAGACACCACTGCAAGTAGCAGAATTTAACACAACTGAAAACCAAGCTCAGATTGTAACATTTTTGAAAAAGAAAATGTTCATAACAAAATAAATTTATAGGAAATACAAATAAAAGTATGTACCAGTACTTAAGTAAAAGATTATTAGTTCATACCACCTGCGTGGTAGCATATTGCTTTCTTAGTTCAATCTGTTAAATTTTATCTGTATAAAAGGCATCATATTGACAAGGGTAAGGAAAACTAATAAGAATGCTGGGGCTCATATAATGATTGCTGAAAAAAGACTCTATTTTTAATCTACAAAGTGATGCCAACCTTCCCGATTGTATTATGAATCTCATAATATATTGTGCCTTTCTTGAAGCATGAGCTTTAGCAGTTATGCATGTAAAAATTCCATCTTTTATTTTAAATCATAAGTTTCTCACTATTGCGTCTTTGGAGAAAACCTTGAGGATGTGGACCCCACAGACTCAGAAAACCAAAATGAAAAGAAGCAGCATGAATTGACTTTTAAAATTCCCAGGAATTTTCAGACATTCATGATTTTTTGTTGAGCTTGACGTTATTTTTGAATGGTTGGAATAAGCAACACTCTACTAGAAACCACAAGTTAAAAAGTAAAAAATGTGCATAGTGTTGATGGATAATATTCATGATTATGTTTAGCTTAATTATAAAGCTACCGTTTGGTTAAATCATATTTGTATTAAATTTCCTCTTTAATGTTAGAAATATATCATTACAAAATTAATTTCCATTTTAAATATTATGCTACTTACTTTCTGCAGTTCTCTGGAGAACTGCATAACTAATGACGATGGTCAGTTCTTATGTAGTTTATAAGGAGTTCATCTTTCAAGACCCCCTATTCCAATATAAAGCTGGGATACTTAGATTACCACTACTGCAATTAAACATTTATTGGTTTAAAATAAAGTATTTAATTAGATTTCTTTCTTACATGAAGGTATTTCTATTTCTTGTGGGCTGTGAACAATCTTATTTTTTTAATAAAAAGGCCTGATTTCTTTCCTGATCATGATCCTTACCCTTGCAAAGTTTGATTTTGCCATCATTGGCTACATCCAGATGAGTACGGCTGTGTGGTATGTGGCACCGGAGACACATCTGCAGCTCCACATACTGCACATTCAGCTGTTCTCTGCACTGCAAGGTAGCAGTGTGGGGTGGGTTTTTGACCCCCAGGGATCTCGGGGTCAAAAAAACCCATGCAAAAAAAAAATGTAGAGAAGCACATGTTGGGGCAGCATGCACGGCCCCAAACTGGGGTTTGGCTGGCTGGAGCCACACTCCAGCTTGCCAGCCAGGCTCCAAGCAGCAGGATCACCACTGCTGCAGCCCCAAGAGGCCCCTGGACCCCAGGTAAGGGTAACCCAGTATGACCTGCCCAGGGTAACCTGCCATGCTCCAGAGGGGGACAAGTAGTAGTGCCACAAGGACAAACGTCAGCGCTCATGTGGATGCGGCAATTATGTCTATTTAATTAGCACAAAGAATAGAAAGTCTCTTACAGCCCTAACAAGTCAAAGCCACCTGAAAAAAAAACCTTTCAAAATTCACGTCATTCCAAGAAATAGGGCTTGCTGCTGCCAGAGCGCCGCAAAATCCAAATGGCTTCTCACAGTCAAACCTCTCAGCATTTTCTTATGATATGTAATAAGTTTGGGCTCATAACGTCAGCCCAAAGGGTGTTTTTGAGTGTCCCGCAGGATACGATTTCTTGGAGGTCACTCCCCTGGGGCTGTAGTAATTCATTTGTGCTGAGCCCCGCTGGGAAGGCCGAGAGCAGGAGTGGTTTTCCACTTTTATTCGGAAGAAAGTGCTGAGTCCTTCTGCAAAGCAGTGGGCCACAGCTCTTCATTTGAGGGCGCCGGTTTGCAAACTTTTTCGACCCAAGTCAATGCTTGACTCGGGCCTGAGCCCTTGGGTCTGGGGCACGTCAGTTTTAAGTAGAAACTGAGGGAAATGGGTTGATTTAGTTTGCAGAAGAGATGACTGAGGGGGGATTGAGTAGCAGCATTTCATCACGTGAAGGGCGGTTGCAAAGAGGATGGGCTGGACGGTTCTCAGTGGTGGCAGGTGACAGAACAAGGAGCAATGGGCTCAAGCATGAACACCGCGCACCCCCGGAGGCTGGAGGGGCACGGCGACCGCCCGCAGGCGGCAGCACCGACGTTGGTGGCGGTGACTGGGGAGCTCCCACAGCCACCCACAGCAGTGTCAGTGGCAGGAAGCAGGGGGGCAACCATCAACGGGTGGTCAGAGACCACCTGCAGCTGCCGCTGGCAGTGTCAGCACCAATGGGGTGGAGGGTGGCAAGTGGCGACCGCCCTCAGCTGGCGGTGCTTTTGTAAAGGGGTGCACTGCTAAGCTTGGGAGGTGCACATGAACCCCCTACACATCACCAGTGGGCTCAAGTTGCAGCAGGGGAAGTGGAGAGTGGATATTGGGACAACCTTTGGTTGGATATTGGGAAAACCTCTCATTAGGAGGGTGCTGAAGCACTGGAACTAGCTCCCTAGAGAGGCTCTCCCTGCTGCCCACGATTTTGCTCTGCAGGGAAAAGGGGCAGGGTTTTCAGACCCTCCCACGGCGCTAGGACCCAGCGAAGCCCTCCTCAGCGGGCAGAAAGCGGGCAGCGGCTTCACTCCTTACTTACGCGCCTGCGCAGGGGGGAACCCAAGCGGAGGGGGAGGAGCGGGCCAGCCCGCGTCCTCTCGCGAGAGCCGACGAGAGCGGGCATCATGGCGGCCGCGGAGGAGGCCGATGTGGATGTTGAGGGGGACGCGGCGACGGCGGCCGGCGTGGGGCAGGCGGGGTGAGCGCGGGCTTGGGGGCGGGGCGGGGCCGGGTGCGGGCCC